AGGCGACATCTCCAAACAGCAGGTAATTTTTTCTTGAAATTGGGTCTGCCTAGAATATCTTGCTTAATTTGTTATTTCCATCAACTGTGTACTCAAATGACATGTCTGGGCATACTTCTTGTTTGTGGTGGAATTTTTGAACAATGAGTTGTGCATCTGCTCCTGACATGTAAGTCATAAGTTGTCTCTTGTAGTTCTTGAAATCCATTTTGAGAGCACCAACGTTAGCATCTCCCCCAAGCATCTCCTTGTACAATCTATGGCTTTTAGCTGTGCCAATGTTTGCTCTCACACAATTAAGAATAAATTTCTGGTGTCCGTAATTCAATTGCCGGTTTGCATTGAGATATTGTGTCTCCAATGATAGGGCGTGACAATGTTTTTCTTCAAATTCGGCGATTTTGTACCCATTTCCATTATACTCAAATACTGCTCGAGCTTTGCAACCAACCCTTTTCGACACACGGTGTCGTGGAACCACACTTGACTCAAAATGTAGTTGTGACATGCTCTTTGAAGTATTTTGTGGGTTTACTGGCTTAAATCATTCTCTATTGCAAACCATATACTGTTTATTTATCACGCCACTTCTAAACCGTTTTGTTGTGTAAGTCCGCACATCAAATCCACCATTTGCTCTGTAGTTTCTGTAGAATTCCTTTGCATTATCAAGGTTTGAAAACAGCATTCCGACTTTAGGCTTTATATCTTGTTGGACGATTGGCATCCAATACTTTGTTAAATTTGGCGATATCACCAATTGAATCTGAGATCCCTCATGAGTAGTACCTACTTCAAAATATAAGAAGAAAAACAAGTTTTGATGTTGCAATTTTAGTTCAACAATGTAACACCCCGACTTTTTAATACTATCAGAGTACGCGATTTTTCGCAATTTTTTTAATAAATAAGTAAAATACTTATTTTGCGAAAACTGATTCGGGATGCTACCGTGAAAAAAAAAACTTGATTTTTCTGAAAACCGTTAAAATTTTAAACTGATAAATAAAAACGGTTATAACGTCTTATCCGACTAACGTCGGAACAAAAACTGAAAATAAGTAGTGAAAGTTTTAGCGGAAATAACTGCGTGGCAAAATATATATACATAAATCACAAATATCCTGAACAGCCCGCCCTGCTCACTCCTCGTCTCCGATCCTGTGACCTGAAAACATGAAATGTGTGGAGGAATAAGCACTAAAACACTGTGCTCCACAGAAACTCATACTAATGTAAACATCGAACATAATAACAACATCATGATCTTGGCATATACATAACCTCAACATGAAACCGGTAATAACATGAACATGAATCTGATATCGTCACGCAAACGTGACCCTGACCGTTA